CATTGACCACGCGTCCCTTTTGAGACGGAGCACCGTTCCTACCCCTACTAGAGACACCACCAACATTTGGGAGCTCTTTACGTTTCTGCCACAGACTACGTGATAATTTCTTGCACATCTTATCCCCGTCCTCTACGGCCTCTTGTGCCCATCATCTATCCCCAATTACCGCGATCGTTTTTCGCTGTTGTCTAATTTACCAAACTTGTCCATGTCACACCCTCTCTGTCTCATGTCCTCCTCGAGATCCTCTCTTTCCTTCCTGTACAGCTCACACTCCGCAACTATGTGGGGTCTACTCTCCTCCGATTTGCCACATGGACATGTCTGTCTATCCTCCTCTTCCTCTCTCCTACGGCTGCTGTACCTCTTCCTCCGTTCTGGCAAGTCCAGATCGCCTACTCGAAATTGCAACTTCAGTTTTTTTGCGTAGTCCATGGGGCCGTCCACGTAACTCTTCATCCCTATCCCTTCTTTCAACTTCCCGTATGTCTCCAAGTGGTCTTCGCTTCGTACCTTCTTCCGAAGGGTTGCCTCCTCCCTACTTTCTAGCATTTCCTTGACTTTCTTCTTGAACCCCCCAAACCCTTCCGTGTCCAATGTCTCCTCCTCGTCTCCTATCTCCTTCCAAACCCTCTCTACCACCTTGTCCCATCTGATTCCTTTCTTCCCTGGAGTCGCTTTTCCCCAAGCTGCCTTGTCAACCATGGCTGGTAGTCTATCGTCCGACATTCTACTTACCTTGTACTGCCAATTCAACTGTTGCATGTCTCTCTTTGTTTTAAGAGAGTACATTCCCAGTTCTGCTCTCAATACAGTTTCCAGGGGGGGGACGCGTTTCCGTTGGAGGCCTCGTTTTGCCTTTTCCTTTTTGCTACGCGCAGCACTGGCTCTGTGTTTGGCCCGGCTTTTAAGTCGCGCGCAGCGCCGACGTAGTCGGACTGGTAAAGACGAGCGAAGCGAGCATTTAGCCCGCCGCAGGCGGGATTTTTTTGGTTCGTCTTAATGCATCTTACACGTCTAAATGCGTCTCTGGCTCGTCTAAGCACGTCTTGTATGCGTCTTGGCACGTCTTGTGTTTAACAAAGCGCGTCTAGAGTGCGTCTTAGCGGGTCTAAAATGCGGCTTAGCGCGTCTATCATGTGCACGTCTAAAATTGTGTCATATGGAGTTGTATTGCGTTTTAACGCGTCTAAGTATTGTATATCTCAGTGCGACAGAATAACGTCTGACAGCATCATCAGTGGTATTGTGCACGATGGTTGATGCCGACCAAAATACGTTTGCGCGCCCCCTATTTATAATGTACATAGAGCGCTACGCACACACTAACACACAGTAACAACTTCCTCCATAACTTTTCGTTTTTTGTTAAGAGGGCAACAACGTTGTTGGTAGAAAGTTCGCCATAACACGAGGTAACTTTCATCTTTGCCAGTCAACAGTCAACAACAGAACATACAACCAACACACGCAGTAGGAAATACAATCTGATGACTATGTACAGCAGTACTCTCCGTGGATGGTTCACAGAAGAACCTGGGTTAAACAGCAAATAAGTACATAAACTAAACCAGCACGCTGTTGTCAAAAGAAAGACACAGCGCCACGTTCCCTGTCAAGGTTACACTTAGTTCTGATATGGAGTACATGTTTTGAACTACAACATATCATAATAACGGAGGGCTACAGACTTTTCTTCACACTATCTTGTTGTTGACCCAGTAGAGAAACAGGGAAAATGTATTGAATTTTCAAAGAATCGTTGCAAGAGACGATAATAATCTGAGTACGTGCCCGCGGGAGTGCCAGCAATAAGGCGCACGCACGCCAGTTGCAACGTAGCAAGTAGACAAACACATAGACACCAATCTGGGAGAACCCTTATAATAGTGGTTCAGTCAGAGTCTTGAACGAGCCACGAGAGATAACTCCACACCAATACTAATATGTAGTTGGTGTAGTCCCGACCAACACAGGGAGGGGTGGAGGGCGTTCCTCCTGCCGATACATCATGTATGTCATGTGTAGTCGTATTTGTAGGAAAAGTGACACCGCCTCCACCGGCGCGTTGCCGCCAGGGCTGGTGCGGTCGAAATGCCTTCATGTGGCGTGTAGCGCGTGTGGCGCGTGTGAGGGTGTTAGGCTATGTGTCGTACATAGATGACAAAGGACACAGGTCCGTTCTGTAGGGTACTCACAGATCGGTACCGGCGATATTTTCCCTCTGTAAGTACCGACAGATCACTACAAAGAAGATCTGTCAGACCCCAGTACCCTACAGAGATTTCACAGATAGTTCGGTACCCTCCCCAGTATCTACCGAGATTTTACAGACTGTTCGGTACTCTCCCAGTACCCTACAGATATTTCACAGAACATTCGGTACTCGCCCAGTACCCTACAGAGATTTCACAGAACGTTCTGTATTCTCCCAGTACCCTACCGAAAAGTTCTGTGAGACCCCAGTACATAGAGATTTTACAGAGGAGTTCTGTGAGACCCCAGTACATACAGAGATTCTACAGAAAGTTCGGTACTCTCCCAGTACCCTACCGACAAACAGTTCTGTAACTCTCCCAGTACCCTACCGAAAAGTTCTGTACAGTAGTACCCTCGGAGGTATGACGTCAGGATTGCGCCGAAGACCCCACCTGCCCCACAGCCACAAAAAGCTTGAAGGTGATCACAGAACTAGAACTAGGTACCTCCACAGAACTCCTTTCGGTCACATAGCTTGAGAGAAACATGAGCGAGAGTGCAGACCTCAGCAGCAGCGTCTCCCCGGCGCAAAGTACAGCAGTTGGGGGTGGAGGAGGCGAGGGTGAAACAGAAACAGCCGAGGGCGCGCCCGCGGGCGGGGGTCAAGTTGGAGACAGCGGCGTGCAGGAAGGCTCGAATTACACCACCACTGGAGACGCTATCGCAAGCAGCAGCAGCGGCGGCGAAGGCGTGCCGGTGAAACACCCGGCGGACGTCTACACCAGTGCGGGGCACAAAGCACAGATCGCTGCCGCCACCGTTGCCGCTGTAGACAATTTCCAAGCGCCGTCTGGTTTTGTGAAAAAGGGCTGTCGCCAGGACTCGTTTATGTACTCGCTTGGAGTATACGTGGAGCAGATCGGAGGCGACCAGCACAAGTTCTTCTGCCTTGCCGGGCCCGACTGCCGCAGGAAGAAGAAGGTGATTCCCTGCCGTCGGGGAGACCGCAGCAACGTCAACTCGCACCTCAAGAGTGTGCACGGCATGCAGGGGAAAGGAGGAGTGACGAAGCAGGCCAGGCGACAGAACACGCAACAAAGCATCGACAGGAGCTTGACCTTGAGCAAAAACTCGCAACTCGGAAAGAACAGGTGTGTGTGCGCGCAAGAGAGGGTTGCGAAGCAACGCTGCTGTGTTTGTGTGTCTGTTGTGCTGCCACAGCAGTAGTCTTGTTGTTGTTTCATGCACTGATCCAGATCAAAGAGGCTGCTATTTGTTGGTCTTGTTTCATGCACGAATCTCCCTCAATCCCATGCTGTGTTGTACGCGCTGCTCTCATTTTGTCAGCTCACGCCCTCTCGCTGTGTTGCGTGTTGCCGCGATGCCTGTTCTTTGTTTTTGTGTCCTTCCTTCGCAGAGTTCGCGAGCTTTTGTGCACGAAATGGCTCGTGGAGAGGTTTTTGGCCTTCAACTTCTTTTCAGCGTCGGATATGTGGAGGCAGACGATCGGGTTCGAGACTGCCGAGAACACGCCGTACCCGCCACTTCCTCCTGAGCGCATGAAGCACCTCGTGGCGGAGATGTTTCTCGCCACG